AAGGCCAAACGATAGGCTCAGAGCCAAGCACATCCCCGCAGCCACAGGTGGACAGCGACGAGGAAGATAAGTGCTGGCTGGACCCTCGACAGAGGTGCAGGGAGAAGCGTGCACAGCAGAGGGGAAGGCGTGCCAGAGATTAGCTGAGTCACTGGACCACACCCCACAGGATATAAATGTGGGTGTGGTGGCTGGTTCAGTTTGTGACGAGCAAAAAACTGGAAATACTCCATGATCTCTGCTTTACTGGACTTTACCTGCTTTATCGGACTGCATTTGGATTAATCTTTGTTTTGTGTGAGTAAAGTCTGAATTGGCAGCTAGCCACTGGGTTGCTGCCAGCTTTATCATCAAAGAGTTTTGTCGTGTGGCTTAATAACTCCGGACCGTCTGTGGGTGTGTGTGCGTGGTACAGGGACAGAACAGTAGATAAACTGAAACCTAGCCAACCACTGAAGTGGACTATGGACTGCCAAGTGGCATTTGAGAAACTGAAAAGACTCTTTTCAGCCGAACCTGTAGAAAACACTCAGACCCAGACCCAGAGATGTGCATACACCTCTAGGAAATTAACTGAAACTGAACAGAGATGGACAATATGGGAAAAAGAAGCTTTTGCAGTCAGGTGGGCACTCCTAACTTGGAGACATTTCTTAGAAGGAAGCAAAATACTTTTCCAAGTATGGACTGACAACAAGAACTTGGAAGCACTCAGAACCCCACAGAAAATGTCCCCAGAACAGGCCCGACGGGCACAGTACTTCCAACGCTTTAATTTCACTTTGAAGTATTTACCAGGAGGAAAAAAATTTTTGGCAGATGCCTTGTCCAGACTACCACAACACAACAGTGTTAAGGTGGAAGTAATTAAGCCCATGCTCCCAGCCTCCCATTTAGCAGCTAAAGTTGTCACACGCTCTCAGACAAAGAACGACCCCTCCACCTTAGACAATGCCACCACTACAGAATTCAAAAAGGCCTTGGAAACAAATGAGTGGTTTAGTGCTCATAGATGTACTTGCATAATAAAAGATGGGTTAGCTTGGGTGGGAAATAAGCTGTATGTCCCAGCTAGGGAAAGGCTGAAAACTATGCAAGCTTGTCACGACTCTAAATTAGCTGGTCACTTTGGTTTTGTAAAACCATTATATTTACTGAAACGGCAATTCTGGTGGCCCTCATTTTAAAAAAGACATAGAAAGCTATATAGCAAGCTGCCCCATTTTTACTGCGGCTAAACGCAGGCAAGGGAAAACCCCTGGTCTACTGCAGGTGGTAGCCAACCCTTCAGCACCATGGAGAGAGATTTCCATGGATTTCATTGTGGAATTGCCTGAAAGTTCTGGAAACCCAGTTAACTGGGTTGTCATAGACCAATGATGGTGAACCTATGGCACACATGCCAGAGGTGGCACATAGAGCCTTCTCTGTTGGCATGCGTGCTGTTGCCCCAGGACAGATCTCCGGGGCGTTTCTTTCATGAGCTTCTGTTTCCCTGCAAATGACGAAACAGACGCTCACAAAAGAAAAATATCTTACCTCTTGCCATGCTGCCGGTGTTGGGATGTCCCGCCTCCTGCCGGCCAGCTGGTCTTCGGGTCTCTGCTGTGCATGCACACATGTCTGTGCATGCGCACATTCACACATGTCCATGCATATGCACACACACCTTTGAGTTTGGGCATGCACGCGTGCACAGTTTGGGCACTCGGTGTCTAAAAGGTTCACCATCACTGCTCTAAGAGCCACTCAGTACCTGGTGGCTTGGAAACACTCCCCTTCTCATACAATGAATGGGTTCACAAAAATCATGTGCATGCCCCTAAATTAATATGTATATTTCATCAATTGTCCCCTGACAAACCTTGCTGATTTTATGTTTTCTTTGTCTCCCCTTCCCTCTTTTTGTTTTCTTTCCGGTAGACTTCCCATTTTTCTAGGGGAGCGGCATGTTAGGTCCCATATATTTCTATTGGGATGCTGGCATTTTGGTGGGAGAGGGAAGAATTGGAGGGATCTCTATATGAAGTTTCTGTTTCCTGCATTGCTGTACTGTGGGAAGGGTTTTGTTTGCACTGCTTTAAATTGCTGTTTTTTAAGTGGGAAGATTTAGTTCCTGCCTAGACCTCTTGCTATCACAAGACTTTTAATAAAAGTTCCTTTTGGAACAACTTCAGTTTCGAGAGTCCTGCTTTCTTGTGAATATTTGGAGAGGCAAGACCTTACAAGGGTGGCCGAATGCGCGAATGCCATGGTAGAGCAGTATTTGAGGTGCTATGTGGACTACCAGCAATCTAACTGGGCAGACTTGCTGCCTTTTGCAGAGATAGCCTACAATAATTCGGTGAACAGTAGCACTGGCCAGACCCCTGTCCAGGTCACCAGTGGCATGGAATTTGTTCCCAAGCTAGAATTACCCCTTCATTTCCCTGAATGAGTGGATGGAATCACTGAAAAAGGGCTGGGAGAATGCGAGGTGAGCCTTAGTGGAAGCGGCAAAATCTTATAAGATGCAAGCTGAGAAACACCGCTCCCCCCAGCCTCCTTTCCAAGTCGGAGACAAAGTATACTCTTTAGATACAAAGTATCTAAAACTAAAGCTACCATGTAAGAAACTGGGTTCCAAGTTCATAGGGCCGTTCCCGATAGTGAAAGTAATCAACCCGGTAACTGTTCAGCTTAGGCTCCCACGCTTGTTGGGAAAGTGCATCTGGTCTTTCACAGCAGTTTGTTAAAGCCAGCAGTCAGCTCCCAGCTGAGACCGGTAGACTGGGCCATTCCTAAACCTATTGTAGTGCAAGGAGACATCCATTATGGGGTTAAAAAAATATTGAACTCTTGTATGCACCGAGGATGATTGCAATACTTAGTTCATTGGAAGGGATACCTCTTGTCTGAGACTACCTGGGTCAAAAGTTTGGATGTGAAAGCTGACAGACTTGTAAAGCAATTTCTTTCTTTTCTTTTTTTTAAATACTTTATTGAATTTTCCAATTTTTAAAAAGACAATGTACAATCTCAATCTTGATCCGAGGTACAGTGTTTACACATTTCATGAATCTACCTGAGACTACCTGGGTCAAAAGTTTGGATGTGAAAGCTGACAGACTTGTAAAGCAATTTCATGATAGACACCCCAATAAACCCAAGTGACCCCCTGGGGGAGGAAGGGGGGTTAACCTGGCTGCTACTAAAAACCCTCTGATTTTCTCATTACAGGATGTCCTCTTCAACTGAGGGGGGACAGCCTGTCAATCCTGGAACCATTTTCCCCCTTGGCACTTCAGGGCTGCCACAGCAAAGAAAGTCAAGCTGTGGGAACGGGAGCGGGGAGGAAAAGATAACTGGGGGATTGTGCCAATATGACGTGCCTAATAAATCTATACTTTGAGGAACGTGGCTGCCTTGGAATTTTGATTCCATTGGGTCCATTACTTGGAACCCTGACACAGTATTTATAACTCCTACTATATCAGGGCTGTCAAATACCCGTCTTGTGGGCCAGCTGAGTCATGCGCTGGCCACACCCACGCCTGATTTAGTAAAGGGGAAAAAATCCTGATATGTCATGTGATGCCACTGTGACGACGCAAGTTTGACACCCCTGTACTATATGATCTATCTATGAAAGACATAGACCACTTGACAAAAGTGGGTTTTCCCTTTAAGTACCTAAATTAAATCATTTAGGTCCTCAAAGGGAATTTCTACTTTAAATAGATGCCTTTATAACTTCTTCATTTATTCTAAACTTGTTTAGACAGGATCTGCAGAATAGGGCCTTCTGAAGATATCCCAGCTATCAGATCTGTCTGATATGCTGGAGGGGGGCTTTCTTTTCAGTGGTTCAGTGTATGGAATATATTTTCTTGTGGAGTTTCAATTGAACACCTCTCTACATTTAAAAAAGCAGTCATTAAACATATTTTACCATACATTTAGGGTTACAGATAGTTCTCAACTTATAATTGGTCACTCATCAACTATTCAAAATTATAATGGACCCCCCCCTCCAAAAAAAAGACGTGTCCCAGTTCTGAATTCCAATGTCACCCATTTTACGACTGTCACAACTTATGACAATAATGCACAGTCTCCATTATAAGGACTACCTGTGCAATTTAGATTTCTGAATGCTACTATTAGCCATAGTAAATATTTGAATAGAAAGTGAAAATACCAATTGAAATTAAAGAATCAGGAAAAATAAAAACAGGATTTGGATCTCTCACTGAATTTATTCATCTATTTTTAATCTTTAGAATTTTTCTCTAAATATTAGTTTAAAATTATAAATAATGCTGTAAGCCCTTTTGAGACCTGATGCCCTATACCAAGCTATATTTCACAGACACTTCCATTTAGTTCTTGTTTAGTGCCAAAGGCTGAAATGAGTAAATAAAGCAATGATGTGAAGAGTGTAGACATCACATTAACTGTCTTAGTGATAGTGCGAAATGGGATAGGCCAAATGATGTAAATGAAAGAAGCTGGGATTGTCAATCCCCCCAATTGCCCCAGGAATTGGAAATTAAAATACTATTGTAAACTTATTGTAAAATAATTTCAATATGAATCCTGCCTAAATATGGCAGAATATTGGCACTGTATTTCAGGAGCATGACAAGAGAAGACCACAAAATATCATTTTAGGATTGAATAGCATTCACTGGCTGCAGGTTTGCTACTCAAACAGTTGACAAAGTTGTTCTCCAAACTCAACTGTACATGACTGAGTTTTTATGCGAAAGTTTGGAAAATTCAAATTTCATCTTATAAAAAATATAAGATTATGGCTGTTTTTATTTACATGCTTTTTAAATAAATAAAAACTGTTTCTTTATTTGCAGCAGATTCATCCATTGTCAGTTTTGTCACCTTTCTTAACAATGCTACAGGCAAGATTTTCCTTAAAAAAATTGACATAGAGTAGGTTTAGTGTTTATTACTTTTCTTCTCTTTTCGCTATTGTATTAACTTTTGTGTTTTTGTATTCTTAGATTTGTCTTCATTTGGAACTGTGGATACTGCAGGTAAGAGTGGGTTGCTTATAATATTTATGTATAAAACATCTTGTACGACTTTTAATTTAAATAAAAATAGACTAAAAAACTGTTTGTCTTAAAGCAGTATGGTACCATAGAATACTGAGGGAAGCCACCCCTCCTAGAAGAATGAAATATTTTAAGAAATATTTAAAAAGCCAGAATATTATATTTCCCTAAAGGAGAAACATGTTTTTAAAGACAGAAAGCCCCCAAGTCTTTCTTAATAGCCCCAGCAGGACTGGGCCAACCTATCTACAAGACAAAAAACCTTCATCTCCAGGGTGACCCTCCAGGACATAATAGGATTAACTCACTAGCAGCAGAGCTCACTACATTGCACAATCTCCTAAAGACATTGCATCAGCCAAACTTCAACCAAGCTTGGCTCAGACAAACTCCTAGGATTTGTACATGGCACCATGGGAGTCTGACAACAGCCAATAGAATACATGTTTTTGCACAGGAACAGAAAGCTCAAGTTCAAAGCCCAAGAGAAGGTATAACACGCCCCCACTCCCCCCAATCTCAACTCCATGTGGTCAGCTGCAACAGAGAACCATGTGCTTGGTGGGTCTGCTTTACCATTAAGCCATCTTTCCAATCAGCCTTCATGTTTCCAGTGTCTTTCTTGTGGATTGGAACTGAACCAGATGGATATTTCTTCCAACAATACCAAATTAAACAAAATACCAAATCATGCTGTAAACTGTCCTTTCAGGAAGAGAAATATTCAGGAGGTGCTTCAGTACAAACATTTTTCTTGATGAACCATTATCAGTATGAGTTTAACAATCCTCAAAGGGATAGGGTAGTACTTCACTATAATAAAATAGACCCAATTATATACAAGCATAACTGACATTGTTTAGTATAATGGGATTCCTGCCTTAAGGAACAAAGGAGATGAAATTAGATTGATTGAATTATTACTGTAAAGCAGCAATTCAGTCAATAAGGGTCTCCTTAAATGAGAGAAAAAAACCAAAGGTATTACAAAGTTAATGGCACAGTCGTACAATATTTTGAACAAGAGGAAATAAGAAAATTGCAGTGGAATTTAGAGAAAGAAAAGTGATATTTAAAGACAGAAAATAAAATATAATCACACTTATTTTTCTGGGAACTGAGCAAAGGTAAAGAAAGTCTGAAATATCTTACTAATTAAATTGCAGATCTTTAAAATGCTAATAGAGATATTTTCTTTATAAGGCTAAATTTCTGTTTGGCATATTCTTCAGACAAAACAGCCAAAGCCAAAGGAAAATATAAAATGGTGATAGAACATTTCTATAATAGCAAGGAAACTCTGCTTATTGTGTTTAGCAGGATAGCCAATCATCACAATCCAATATACAGTAAAGTTGGAATGGTACACCATAACTGTTTGAAAAAGCCACAAGTCTCTTGGTAGAATTTTATTTTTCTTTAATGAGTTATTCTTTCAGTATAAAGAAGAGAAAAAAGGGGAAAACAGAAAGATACACTACATCCAAAAAGGAAACAACAAAATATATTATATAAGTGAAATATATGAAACAATCCTTCATCTTAGTAATTTAAGCACAGCATTAAACATTAATGGATAGTGTTAAATTAGACTAAAGTGCCAGTTTAAAAGCACAAAGTGAACACATAGTTCAAGACTATATATTTAGAGTCATGTTCTCTTCCCAGTATTGAAAAATAATATTTCCTAACAATGAGTCCCACTTGTTAAATCCATAATTCTTGATATAGTTGTGTTTCACATTTTTGTATATCTAAGGGTTGGCCTTTCCACAGAAAATTCCTTAATATCTTGTCAGTCTGCTTAAATAGCTTAATTCCTACATTTATTATTGTTAACATTATTAAAATAATTACAGATTATTAATATATATATTATTAAAATTATATATAAAATTATATATATATATATATATATATATATATATATATATATATATATATAAATTTTTATATAACTTCAGAACTGTACATTATAATTTATTAAACATAACTCATTTCATTTTTCTTTAGAAACAACAAATATAATGGAACTTGACTTTTCAAAAATAGATGGTATGTTTATTATTGTTATTATAATACATAACACTGTGAATTCACTGCTGTGTGTTTAGCTGGTGTTGGCCTTCATTCACATCAAATTCTTCCCAAGAATTTAGGATACTTCATGTATCACTGTAATCTATGTATGGATCGAAGCAGTGTGGCCTTTTGTAACTGATAGATGAACATTTTTCCAATGCACATATTTTGTAACTAACTACCATTGAAGCCTTTTTCCTATGGACTATGGTATTGCCACATCAACTATCCATACTTTCTTCTTTTCAATCACAGTTAAATCTGATGTATTATATGCCAAAGAACCCACCCTCCTTAACACATTAACAATTGTCAATAAGAAAGCAAAAAAAATCTGGATAGTGGACGTTGGAATACCTGGAGACAGGAAAAAGAAAAAGCAGTTTAACTAAATTTAGTTTACACCAACACCATTCATTATATCCCTCCATTTCTTTTTATCTTTTCAAACCATCCTTGAAGTCAGGAACTCTTGATTAGGACTCCACAATAAATCATAGTAAATCCTAACACTTCATAGATTAGTTTAATTTCTTTTATTGGCTAAGAATAGACTGGCAGACACAGCTCAGTAAATTCAGAAACTTTATTGTTTTGTAGATTAAAATAGTTTAAGTGCAGTTGTAGGTGTACTGTACCCAAGTATTGATTGCCCACACATCATGGATTTAAACACAAAGTTTCTTCTACCTGCCTTTCCAAATTAAAAGTTAATTGGCCTAGCACTTTGCAACCATGAAGCTGAACAATTATTGAATGTTTCAATAATGACCATTTCAAAAAGCCAGTTTCCACTTGCCAGTCTCCACTCTTATCACTCTATTCTCTTTATGCCTCTCTCTCCTCTTCTTAATCTAGTAAATTCCATAATAATCAAAGGATTAAAAGAATAATAGAGTTGGAAGGGACCTTGGAGGTCTTCAAGTTAACCCCCTGCTCAAGCAGGAAACCCTATACCATTTCAGACAAATGGCTGTCCAATCTCTTCTTAAAAACCTCCATTGATAAATCATTCACAACTTCTGGAGACAAGCCTTTCAGTGGTGGGTTTCTACTGATTCGCCCTGGTTTGGACAAAGCAGTAGTGGCAGCGGTGGAAGGCTCCACCAACCAACCCGGATGTCATCACGGATGCTCTGTGCATGCGCAGAAGCACAGAAGCCCTGCACGTGAGTGAAGCAAGCACGCGTGTGCACACTCACAGTTCCAAACTGGTAGCAAAGGCAAGTGGAACCCACTACTGAAGCCTTTCCACCGATTAATTGTTGTAACTGTCAGGAATTTTCTCCTTAGTACTAAGTTGCTTGTCTCCTTGGTTAGTTTCCATCCATGGTTTCTTGTTCTGCCTTCAGGTGCTTTGGAGAATAGGTTGATCCCCTCTTCTTTGTCACAGCTCCTTAGATATTGGAACACTGCTATCACATCATCACTAGAATGAATGAATGAATGAATGAATGAATGAATGAATGAATGAATGAAATTGTGAGTCCCCATGAACAAAGGATGTAGTTAAGACAGTCTTCAACTAGGTCACCATTAGAGTGGAATCCTACATCTGCATCTGTTATTGTTCTAAACTAGCATTTATTCCTTGATTCCACCCATCCAACTTCCCCAGAAGATAGGTGGAGTTTGATATTCAGTAATTTAAATAAACTTTCCAAAACTATTCTGTGAATCATTAGATCATGACTTCAGAAAATTTGTTGAATTAACAGATGAGTATCTCAGGGCAGAACAAAACATGATACACTGGAGAAGGAAATGGCAATCCACTCCAGTATATTTACTATGAAAACCCCATGGACAGTACCAAAAGGCAAAAAGATATGACACTGGAAGATGAGCCCGTCAGTTCAGAAGGTGTCCAATATGCTACTGGGGAAGAGCAGAGGGCTAGTACTAGTAGCGCCAGAAAGAGTGAAACAACTGGGCCAAAACCGAAAGGATGTTCAGCTGTGGATGCATCTGGTGGTGAAAGGAAAGTCCGATGCTGTAAAGATCTATTCTCCATAGGAACCTGGAATGTAAGATCCATGAATCAAGGCAAGCTGGACATGGTCAAACAAGAGATGACAAGTCTGAACATCAACATCTTAGGAATCAGCTAACTAAAATGGACAGGAATGGGTGAATTTAATTCAGATGACTATTAGGTATATTACTGCAGACAAGAAGCCCTCAGAAGCAATGGAGTAGACTTCATAGTCAATAAAAGAGTATGAAAAGCAATACTGGGATACAATCCCCCAAATGACAGGATGATCTCAGTTCAAATCCAAGGCAAACCAATATCACAGTAGTCCAAGTCTATGCCCCAACCACTGGTGCTGAAGAGGATGAAATTGACTGGTTCTATGAAGCCCTACAGCACCTTATAGAATTAACACCAAAAAATGATGTCCTTATCATCATGGGGGATTGAAATGCTAAAGTAGGAAGCCAAAAGATAACAGGAATAACAGGCATGTTTCGCCTTGGAGTACAAAATGAAACAGGGCACAGGCTGATAGAATTTTGTCAAGAGAATATGATGGTCATAGCAAACACTCTTTTCCAACAACCCAAGAGACAACTCTACACATGGACATCACCAGACGGTCAACACAGAAACCAGATTGATTATGTGCTCTGCAGCCAAAGATGGAGAAGCTCTATACAGTCAGTAAAAACAAGACCAGGAGCTGACTGTGGCTCAGATCATGAGCTTCTCATTGCAAAATTTAGGTTCAAATTGAAGAAAGTAGGGAAAAGCACTAGGCCAGTCAGGTATGAACTAAATCATATCCCTGATGAATATACAGTAGAGGTGACAAATAGATTTAAGGAATTAAATCTGATAGACAGAGTGCCAAAAGAACTATGGACGGAGGTTCACAACATTGTACAAGAGATAGCAACTAAAACCATCCCAAAGAAAAAGAAATGCAAGAAAGCAAAATGGCTGTCTGAGGAAGCTTTGCAAATAGCTGAGGAAAGAAGGGAAGTGAAAGGCAAGGGAGAAAGAGAAAGATACACCCAAGTGTATCTTTAAAAAAGCCAATTATGATCTCATAGACAATGAACTCTCATATCTTGATTGGCAAAATCTATTCTCTGGCTGTAATACTGCTGACGACCATTACAACATTTTCTTGCGTGAACTCAAAAGAATCATTAAACTTTACGTACCACTAATACCCCACCAGAAAAAACCAGAAAAAATAAACTACCAAATAACAATAAAGAAATTACAATCCAGAAAAAAATCTCTTTGGCAAAAAAACAAAACAAACTACGTAGCTAACTTCAAAAACCACTATAAAAACTTATGCCCACAAATAAAGATTGAATGCACCAATTATCACATTAAGCAAGAAGAAAACCTTCTATGCACAAAATTCACCTGTGCCTTCTATAATTTTGTAAACAACAAACTTAAAAACTCGAGATCCATCCCACCCCTAAAAGGACCAAACAATTAAGATTGTATTGACAAAACCGTTAAAGCCAATCTCTTTAACACGTTCTTCGGTTCAGTCTTTGTAAACAGCAACAACACATACCCAATATTTCCCAGTCATACTACAGACAATTACAACGATTACAGTGATCTTATACATACTGATTTTACAGAAGACAATGTTGAAAAGGCACTACGCAATCTAAAACCATCTCTATCTATTGGACCTGATGGACTATGTGCATACTTCTTAAAAAAGCTTTCCACTGCAATTGCAGAACCTCTAAGCATAATTTTTGAACAATCTTTCAGTACCAGCACCTTGCCCTACCAATGGTCACAAGCCAGAGTCATCCCTATCTTCAAAACAGAGACCCTAGGCTAGTTGAAAATTACAGACCAATCTCTTTATGTTGCGTCACCTGCAAAGTCATGGAGTCAATCATTAACCAATCTGTTACCCTACACCTAGAGACAGACAACCTACTTTCTAACAAACAATTTGGTTTCAGAAAAAAAATATTCTGTAATCTACAACTACTACATTGCAAAAACATATGGACTACACATCTCAATCAGGGCAAAGCAATAGACGCAGTTTATATAGACTTCTGTAAAGCTTTTGATTCAGTGGTACACAACAAATTACTTCTAAAATGAAAATCCAATGGCATTTCTGGACTCCTACATAAATAGATAGCTGCCTTCCTGTCAAACAGACAACAAGTGGTCAAAATAGGAAGCGCTCTATCAAATCCTGTACATGTTAATAGTGGTGTTCCCCAAGGCAGTGTCTTAGGTCCAACACTCTTCATACTTTACATAAGTGACCTTTGTGATCATATTAAAAGCAACTGTGTTCTCTTTGCTGATGATGTTAAACTATTCAACACCACCGACAATGCAACTACCCTTCAAAAAGACCTTGACTATGTGTCAGATTGGTCTAACAAGTGGCAATTTCAAATATCAACCAACAAATTCTCTGTCTTGCACATTGGCAAAAAAAAAAAAAAAAACATAAAACAAATTAGATGGACATGACCTTGTAGATGACCCTCACTCTGTCAAGGACCTTGGAGTACTCATTTCTAATGATTTAAGTGCCCGAGCCCACTGTAACAACATTGCCAAAAAGGCATTACGAGTTGTTAACCTAATCTTGCGTAGCTTCTTCTCTGGTAATGTTGTACTATTAACTAGAGCATACAATACATTTGCTAGACCAATTCTCGAATACAGCTCATCTGTCTGGAACCCGCACTGCACATTAGACATAAATACAATTGAGAGCGTCCAGAGATATTTTACGAGAACAGTCCTCCATTCCTCTAACCGCAATAAAATACCTTATGCCACCAGACTTCAAATTTTGGGCTTAGAAAACTTAGAACTACGCCGACTTCAGTCTGACATAAGCATAGTACATAAAATTATCTCCAACAATGTACTTCCTGTCAATGACTACTTCAGCTTCAACCACAACAATACACGAGTTAATAATAGATACAAACTCAAGGTAAACCGTTCCA